TTACTGTATTAATAATAACTAAGTTCATATTTAGTACTGTGTACTTCCATTTTGAATCTTGAAAAAGCTAGTTGGATTACTGGTGAAACGTCGAAAAAAAAAAAATATATATTACTCTGAAGTAAATGAACTTAGTTATTATTAATACTGTATATCACCAGAGTGATGAATCTACACAGAAATATAAAATTACTGTTTTTTCAAATTTGGTATTTTTCTGAGCTCCACCTTGTCGCGTCACCAGTTACCATGCTAACAAGAATAATAGGATAATGATGTCATAGAACAATGAAATCTTCATGATGTGATCCTATATATTGGGGTTATAGTATTCAGCAATAAATACAGTGGCTTAAGATCATATAAAATTACTGTTTATTCAAATTTGGTATTTTTCTGAGCTCCACCTTGTCGCGTCACCAGTTACCATGCTAACAAAAATAATAGGATAATGATGTCATAGAACAATGAAATCTTCATGATGTGATCCTATATATTGGGGTTATAGTATTCAGCAATAAATACAGTGTCCAAAGATCATATAAAATTACTGTTTTTTCAAATTTGGTATTTTTCTGAGCTCCACCTCGTCGCGCCACCAGTTACCATGCTAACAAAAATAATAGGATAATGATGTCATAGAACAATGAAATCTTCATGATGTGATCCTATATATTTGGGTTATAGTATTCAGCAATAAATACAGTGGCTTAAGATCATATAAAATTATAGTTCAACAAGTTAAACCCAATACCACGGCTTTCATTTTTTAATCTGAATGTTCGTGTTGCCGTGGTTGGGTTTAACTTCCGTGCTATGCTTTCATTTGTTGCAAATTCTCACCATCAGTTATTAATAAAACGCGCATTGAATTTCATGCGCTACCATAGGCCACCATTAATTTTTTTTTGCATGAAGAGCCGAATAGGCACGGAAGTTAAACCTAGGGCGGGCCACAAGATATGTCAGAGAAGAAATAAGGCCCAGACTAGGTTTAACTTGTTGAACTAATAAAATTACTGTTTATTCAAATTTGGTATTTTTCTGAGCTCCACCTTGTCGCGTTACCAGTTACCATGCTAACAAAAATAATAGGATAATGATGTCATAGAACAATGAAATCTTCATGATGTGATCCTATATATTGGGGTTATAGTATTCAGCAATAAATACAGTGTCCAAAGATCATATAAAATTACTGTTTTTTCAAATTTGGTATTTTTCTGAGCTCCACCTCGTCGCGCCACCAGTTACCATGCTAACAAAAATAATAGGATAATGAAGTCATAGAACAATGAAATCTTCATGATGTGATCCTATATATTTGGGTTATAGTATGTGAAAAAATCAGTAAGAAAGGATAAAAAATGGCAGACATAGAGCGAACGGTCCAGAAATTCCTGATCACCCCTCGTGTATATATACTTTTCTTTATATTGTTTCTTTTCAAGAACGAGCTCGGTGTGAAAATACACCAAGGAAGGAAGAAGCAGTGTAAGGCTCTGTTACAACAGCGTATAGCAGCAAACACGACTAAGAGTGCTGCTAGTAAGTCGGAGGAGGACCCAGGCCCGGAAGCACCCCACAGTGCCCAGGACCTCCAGGCTGTAGCAAATCCTGACACTGCAAGCCAACGAAGAAGAGAGAGGATGGAGCCTGTTATTGAGAGGAAACCACGACTGAAGTTTCCACCTGCAGCAGATCCAAGATGGAAAGAGCTTGATGACTCACTAGACACCATCTTGGGCATGACACTAAAAGGCAATCCCCAGAAAAAGCTGGCATTGATGACCACCATAGTCTTCGATGAGTGCAAAGATTTGTTTGGTGATAAGGACAAGCGGAGACAAGCAAGGCAACCAGCAGGCCCGAGCAGGCGACAGCAACAAATAGCAGAACTTCGCCGAGAGCTCCGAGGTCTCCGCAGGCAATGGAGAAGAGCTGATGACATCCAACAGGTCGGCCTCAAACAACTCATAGACCACCATCGCAAGAGACTCATCCAGCTTCGCCAGGTGGAAAACCTTAGGAAGAAAGCAAAGGAGAAGCGCAGAAGCCGAGAAGCATTTTTCAAGAATCCTTACAAGTTCACCTCAGAACTGTTGGGAAAGCCAAAGAGCGGCCAATTGGAGTGCACCCAGGCTGAGGCAGAAGAGAATGTTTCAAGAGCACACAGTGATCCAGGAAGAGATACCCCCCTAGGAGACTGTCCAGTTAAGCTTTTAACACCAGAACCAGATACCCCATTTGACCTCTCTGACATCACCCAGGATGAGGTAAAGGCCATTGTCAAGAAGGCTAGAGCGGGGTCGGCGCCAGGACCCACAGGCATTACCTATAGGGTGTACAAGAACTGCCCTAAACTTCTGCATCGCCTGTGGAAGCTGTTGCGTTTGGTCTGGAAAGACAAAGCTCTGCCACCAACATGGACACTTGCTGAAGGTTGCTATGTCCCAAAGGAAGAAAACTCCACCACCCTCGACAAGTTCCGGGAAATTTCTCTCCTGGACGTGGAAGGGAAAATCTTCTGGGCAATAGTAGCCAAGAGAATAGCAGCATTTCTTCTGAAAAATGGATACATTGACACCAGTGTCCAGAAAGGGGGACTTTCCGGGCAATCAGGATGTTTAGAGCATACGGCAACCATAACCCAGCTCATCAAGGAGGCACAACGAGACAAGTCAACTCTGGCCGTAGTCTGGCTAGACCTGGCTAAGGCTTACCCCAGTGTACCACACCAGCTCATCAAAACAGCTCTGGAGCAGTACCACTTTCCACAAGAGATAGTAGATCTAGCCATGCAACACCTAGGCAGCATGAGAATGCAGTTTACTACAGCCAAATTTACCACCAAATGGCAGCAGTTGGAAAAAGGTATTATGGCTGGGTGCACAGTCTCTGTTGTCCTCTTCATTACAGCCATGAACTTGATTTTGAAAGCTGGGGAGGCACAGTGCAGAGGTCCAAAAGCCAGGGACGGGACACGACATCGAACCTGCCTTGCCTTCATGGATGACATCACAGCCATGACTCAATCTATTCCCGGAACCCGTTGGGTACTAGGTGGCTTGGAGCAGATGGCCAATTGGGCTCGGATGGAGTTCAAACCCAAGAAGTCAAGAAGCCTGGTCATTTACAAGGGCAAGACACAACCAAGTACTTTCTTTAAGATCCAGGGCTCACGCATCCCAACCATACAGGAACAGAGGATAAAGTGCCTAGGGAAGTACTTTGACAAGTCACTCAAGGACGTCAATTCCATCACAGACGTTGTGAACCAACTTAAGGGGTGGCTGAAGGTCATAGACCAGAGCAAGCTACAGGGACGTTTTAAGGCTTGGTGTTTTGAGTTTGGCATCATCCCGAGACTCCAATGGCCCTTTCTTCTGTATGATTTTCCACTCACCACAGTGAAAGCTATGGAGAAGTTGTGCAGCAAACATCTCAGACGATGGCTCGGAGTCCCTCCAAGCTTCAGTGCAGTTAATCTGTATTCAACATCTTCCAAACTGTCTCTGCCACTGTCTTCTGTCGTGGAAGAGTTTAAAGTTGCTAAGGTCAGAGCAGTCGCCACACTCCGCTCTGCACACGACAGCAATGTCCATGGCACAGGAGAAACCATCACGGCAGGCAGAAAGTGGAAACCGCAGGTAGCTGTATCTGAGGCAGAAGAGCGCATTCAACTTGAGCAAATCGTGGGAGTGACATGCCAGGGTCGGCTCGGACTTGGAAACTATGGTCCACAGCAGTGGGAGCAGCCCACCCCCAAAGACAAGAGAGACAGGATAGTACATCAGGTGCGGAGGAAGGAGGAAGAGGAGCGCTTGGTTAGAGCCATCGGACTCACCAAGCAGGGTGATTGGACCAGGTGGGACTCCATACTGGACCGATCACTAGGCTGGAGAGATCTTTGGTCTGTTGACCAGGGGCGTCTCAGCTTCCTTCTCAGAGCATTCACTGATCTTTTGCCATCTCCAACCAACTTGAGAACTTGGGGAAAAGAAGAAACATCAAACTGCCCACAATGCCTTGCAGCACACTGTTCTCTCTCACATATCCTGAGTGGGTGCACGAAAGCACTAGCAGAAGGTCGTTACCGGTGGCGCCATGACAAAGTGCTTGAGGAAATAGCCAAATGGGTTGATAGGGAAAGGCTTGAAGCCAATCAGCAGAAGGTCTCAACCAAGCCTAGATTCATAGAATTCAGAAAGGAAGGCCAGGCTAAATCATCCAAGCAGAAGACGATCACCGAACCCCCTTCCACCCTATCTAAAGCATCTGACTGGGATCTCCAAGTTGACATCAGGAGAAAGCTAGTGTTCCCCCAAGATATCGTAGTGACCACACAGAGACCAGATATGGTGCTTCTATCTAGAAACAGCAAAACCATCCTTGTGATAGAACTTACTGTACCTAGTGAGGAGAGAATAGAGGTATCTCACCAACTGAAGATTGCCCGTTACCAAGACCTAGTAGACGAAGCAAAATCCAGAGGGTGGA